GGTTGGAGACCGGGCGATAGTTGGCCAACTCATCTGGGTCCAGGGAAGGCTTCTTGAGGAGGGGCCTCACAACGGCCTCCTTTAAGGCCGCAGGGAAGACACCCTCCTGCAAAGAAGCGTTAATAATTCCCTGGAACCAGGCTCGTGTACCCTCCCGAGCTGCCAGTACCAGCCAGGAGGGACACGGATCTAATAAACAAGTACATGTACAGAGTTGTCATGGACACGGATCTAATAAACAAGTACATGTACAGAGTTGTCATGGAAACAAGCTGAAGCTTGAATGATAGAGCAATTGGATAGCAGGGATTTTGAGCTATTATATTTATTCTACCAGATCATTCTGTGATAGGATGAATGATAGATGGAGGTAATCTATGACTTTATTGCTTTATGTATAACTAGCTGTACCCGGCCGCGCGTTGCTGTGGCTCAGTCTGGTAAAAGCGTGTGTTGCTTTTACGTCCAACAGATGGCGCTGTTTTTCAAAAAAACATGTTTTACCTGTCACAGGTGTGACATCTATACAATATAGGTATATAAAAACATGCGCGTATTCGAATTTCAAAGCAATCGGTGAAGAACTTTCAGAGATTTAAGATTTTGAATAAACGAACATTTACATTTTTATTTATATATATAACACTATCTGTAGCTCGATAATATTCAAACACATGGCCTGATGTGTTTGAATATTTCATCTTCAGAAAAGCATATAAGGCACGTATGCTTTATAAACCTAATGGGGTATATATTATCCATTTCCAGTATATATTATTTAGATGCTAGATTAAGAAATGTTGGAGAAACTATCTTTCCAGAAGAGGTGAGACCTAAGTTACCAAATGACTCTGAGGTTTGGCCAAAGTAATTTTGAAAAGATATTATTTTATTTGATTTTTTTTCTGGGGGAGGGGTCTATCCTTTTGGTCTTGTATATTATAGAGTTGGTTCTTCTAGTCTTTTGCATTCTCTTTTCTTTGAGATATATTTTATTTTTATTTTTTTTAATTGCCCAGAGTTGTGAAAGAGCAAGAGGGCAGCCACAGCATCACTTTGGTCACCAAGAGTGGAAATATAAAGTTTTATTGTTTTAAAATGTTTTTAAGATTTTATTTGTTTGCTGAGATGCGCGACTATAGAAATCAAATAAATAAATGAACAATTGCAGGAACTAGGTATGTCTAGTCTAGCAAAGAACAGGACGAGAAGACCTCCAAGGTCCCTTCTAGTTCCCTTCTATCTAACTAGGGCTGACATGATATTCTTATTTATTTATTTATTTATTTATTTATTTATTTATTTATTTATTTATTTATTTATTTATTTATTTATTTATTTATTGATTGATTGATTGATTGATTGATTGATTGATTGATTGATTGATTGATTGATTGGCCACCCATCTTACCATCAAGGTAACTCTGGGCAGCTTACAATCATAATACACAAACACAGAGAGAGCAAGAGAGATTCACACACACGCACAGACACACACAGAGAGAGTCATAGTCTGTCCTTGTCCTATATAGTAATCCATGCAGGGGATCTGGTAGATTACATTGGAAATATCTCCCAACTTCAAGTGATCTTTACAATGCATAATTTGTCCTTGTAATACAAGTATTCCTCAAGTTACGACAGTTCACTTAGCAACTGTTCAAAATTATGATCCCCCCAAAAAAGTACTTATGATCTGGTCCGGCCGTTACATATGTTGCAGCGCCACAGTGGCCATTCGCCCTTACGACCGACTGTAGGGATGCTGCAACATGCTCCCTACCTATTTCCTCCCCATTCTGCCCCACCAGGTCTCCACAAGCACTGGGCCTGCTTTGCTAGTGTCCCAGATTCCACTTGCTCCTCCCCACCTCATTTCTGATTGCTTACTTTTCTAAGATCTCCAGAGTTCCAGAACAGGCTGACCCACATGGACAAAACCAGCAGTCTTTTACTCAGATGCTGGTGAAGCTGGAAGAACATGAGATCCAAAGAAAACAGCTTCACCAGCAGCTGAGCAAAAGACTTCTGCTTTTCTGCCACTAGGCCAGCGTCCCTGCAGACCTCATTTGGTCCCAGCCTGGGCAGTGCCACAGCAATCTCCTGCTTGCTGCTGAGTGGCTGGTTTGAATGAGCAGCTTCAGGGATTGGGGCGTGAAGGCAACGATTATAGCCAGTCAACATGGAGCTTGCAGTTCAGCCCAATGAGGCAATGGAAACAAACTCCGTAGCAAGCAGGATAGCACCCAGCCTGAGTGGCACTGCAGCAGCCTCATGCTTGCTGCTGAGTGACAGGTTTGAATGAGTAGCTTCAGAGATAGGATATGAAGGCAACGGCAGCAGCCAATCAACACAGAGCTTGTTTCCTTTGTCTCATCCGGTTGAACTGCAAACTCCGCATTGATCGGTACTAATACTTCATGTGATTTTGATTCTGTGCCTCTGTTTATACACCAAGGATTGTATTAGCCTTTTTGGCTGCTGCTGCACGCTACTGTCTCACATTTAAGTGATCGTTCACTAGGACTCCAAAATCCCTCTCACAGTTACTGTTTTTTAGCCAGCTTTTGCCTAATCTGTAATTGTAACTTTGGTTTTTCCTGCCAAAATGTAAAATCTTGCTTTTCTCCACATTAAATTTCATTTTGTTGGATAGGACCCATTGTTCAAGTCTGTCAAGATCCTTTTGGATCCTGAGCTTGTCTTCTGGGGTATTAGCTAGTCTTACCAGCTTAATGTCATCTACAAATTTGATGAGTTCCCCTTCTATTCTCTCATCTGTCACATATGAAGGTATTGAAGAGTACTGGGCTTAATGACCCTTGACTTTTTTCTTTCAAATATTAGAGTAATATTTTTCATTTATGTGTGAAAAAAAGATGGGGGAACATGGTGTTAATGGGAGAGATTTGAATGCATATTGTAATTGTTTTATAAGGATCAATAGATAATATGGCCTCTTCAAAAGAGATTTATTTATTTTGTGTTCCTTTCTCTCTAGGTTATAGTGGAGAAGGCACCCAAAGCTAGAGTATCTGATCTGGACAAGAGGAAGTATCTTGTCCCATCAGATCTCACGGGTAAGTGTATCTTGTTTCATTTGCTTTAACTATATTACCTGCTAAGTAGTAGTTGGACTAATTTCAATTTCAATCTTGGTGTTACTTGGTGACTTTGGGACAATCACCCTTTCTTTTAGCTCAGCCAAACTGATAAGGATTTCAAATCAAATTTTTATTAAAGTCAAAGACAAACGTAAGGAGGATGGAATACAAAAAATTTAAAAGCATAAAAAGTGCAACAAAATAAAATTATATATGAAAAGCTAAAAAGCTTTATAAAAAGAATCTAAAAGGAGCCTAAAAGGAGGGTTAGGAACAATGAATGAACATAGGGGAACATGACAGACTAAATCTATCATAATATAGAGCACTCTATAATGATAAACTAGCTGCTCATTAAAACTGGTTTGTGGCAGAGATCATCTTCTGACAAATTTCAAATGCAGCTGCCCAGCACCTGGCAACATTTTATGTTGTGATAGGTTTAGTATCTGAGAGCAGCAGGGAGGTGTAGAATTGTCCTGTCTGTCCTGGGTATTTATGTGATAATGGTGAGATGAGGCTAATATGAATATCTCTGTAATATATTCTATAGTGCATGTTCTATAGTTTCTATGTGTCCAGAGTCACTGGAGCATTGTTTTTCTAGGTACAGTAAGTGATGTTTTTGTATCAACTTTCAAGGACATTGTGAGGAGGGTGTGACATTGTAGCTAAGTAAAGGCCCTTGGTTAAATATGCCCAGTGCTTTTTTTCTAAAAAAAAAAAAAAAAAAAAAGGTGCCGGAACGCACACACACGTCATGCAACCCGCCATGCCTACCCTACAAGGTTCCATCCAAAAAAGGTGCCGGAACTCTGTTCTGTGCGTTCTATGAAAAAAAAAGCCCTGAGTATGCCATAGCAGAAGCAGAGAATCTATTGGGTTCACTGTCAATAAAGTTTGCAGACCTGGCTAAATCCAGTTTAGCAGTCTGTGACCATTACTAGCTGTTTAATGAGAGTTTTGTCCCCATCATGCTGAATAGAAGACCTGGAGAGAAGCCCAAGAATTGAGTTTTTACTATTTTTCCCATGTGGACTGAAAATCATCCCTCATAATTAGTGGAGCAAGGCCAAGGAACAAAAAGGATAGTTTGAGCCAATAGCTGAGCATGTCACCCATACTCTAGCCACTACTTTTATGAGGCCTGTCTCTAGTCTAGTGTGGCATTAGAAACACATTTTGGGGTTTGAAGGCTAATCTTAGGAATCTGTACTGAAGAAGTTATCCCAATGGCTTAGATTCAAATAATTTAATTTCTGCAGGAAGGTAGTAGCCACTGTTTTGTCTTGAGGAATTTAAGAATGGCAAGTGAGGTCCCATGTTCATTTTTAGCAATGTAGTCCATATGGTGTTTTCTACTGTTGGCAGCATATAGGATTACTTCCTGATATTTGAAATGGGAGACCTGCTCAGTTTTATGACCATCTATCCTCCAAGACTGGTCCTTGGCATTTTGCAAATGCTGTGATTTTGATTTTCTGATAATGAGGTTTAGGTGGACTTTCTTGCAATAGTACTAGAACTAGTGCTGTCCTAGTACTCTCAGTGCTCTTTTAAGGCCAATTATCATACCCTCAATACGTTTTACCCCTTTCATTTACTTTGCATTTCATTTTCGGGTACTGCCATTCTGTTGGGAGGGGGGAGGTTTGCTCTTTGCTCTGTGGGAAAGGGGGAAAGTTTTGCGGGCTCTGAAATGTATTTCCTTTGCTTTGTTCTATCTTTTTTGAAGTAACTCTCTCTGGGTGTGAAAGGAGGGAGGAATGCACCTGCAGCCATCTGCTGTATCTCCAGTTGAAACCTTGGGAACTGCACTTTATCGCCTGGTTCCCATAACAACTTCACACCTGTGGATTGGCTAAGATCAAACCGGATGGTTGAACACTGGGAAGGGTTTGAAGGGGCAGTTTTAATGTAATGCTTCGCACGGGAAAAATTTAGATCTTGCCTAGCTCTCCTGCTATTACTAATTCTAAATAATTGTTCCTGTTGCAACAATGCCAGTTTCAAGAGTTCTGCTTTCTTGGAAGTATTAGTTGAGGCAGGTCCTTACATTAGACAAGATCTGCAAAGTGATCAACCCGGAGGGGAGGAAAACCCTACTGTAGGAACCATGCACATGATGTCCAACCATGGCAGCGAGTGAGAGGAGGTTGAGCACTGGTCAGAGTGATAGATCCTCCGATTCGGGAGAGGAAGCAGCAGCCATGGAAACCCTCCTGAAACCAAGATAGTCAATTGGCATAGGGAAGAAGGAAGACTGGGAGGGGAGATCTTGGAAGGTGACCATTGCCCATGCCAGCCGAAAGCCAAAATGGAAATGCGAAATGGAGCACTCACTCAACCTGGACGAGGAAGAGGATAAAGTGCTGAGCCAGGCCGATCATTTTCTAAAACAGGCCATAGGCCTGATGGTGGAAGCCTCCAAAACCCTGAAGGAGGAGGAAGTCAACACCTGTAGGAAAACGAGTAAGGAGGAAGCTGAAAGGGAGAAAGTGAACTCTCCATTCCTGAAGCATAAACAAGCACCGCGGATTCTGCGAGGGGGCAATGGCAGCAACTACCCCAGCTCGAGCCACACCAGCTGGAGGAGATGCCCGCAGAGCCCGAGGGAGGGGAACCCACCTGCTTGAGTGGAAGACGTCCCCCCTTGGCATTAAATTTGATGGGGACCCTCAGCAATTGGGATTCTTCCTGGTCCACATCCTGATCTGCATGCAGGAGTACGGCCAGGAGCTCCCCAGCAAGGGAGTCCAGGTCAGAGTTGTGACACTGGCTCTGAAGGGTGCAGCAGCTAGGTGGATGGTAACCCTGCACAATGCCGATGTGCCTGACCTTCAAAATTTCAATCAATTCATGGCCGCACTGAGGCGTCGCTTCAAAGATCCCTTGGCAGATCAAAAAGCCCGAGATTGCATCAAAATGCTCAGGCAAGGCTGCCAGCCTGTGGCTGAATACAACGAGGATTTTCAAGACCTGGCATGCCGCCTCAACTGGCCAGAAGATATTCTAGTGACCTGTTTTAAAGATGGATTAAAAGATGGTTGCATCACTCAAGGAGCCCCACCCCACCCTCATGATTGGTGTATCTTGGCCAAAGAGGCAGAGATCGACCAAGCCCAAAGCCAACATTGTTCCGGCAGAGTATGGAGACAGTCCCCACCTGAAGGAAAGAGGGAAATAGCAAAGACCCCCGCAGCACCACCGTGCTCAACTGCCTGCTTCAAGTATGGCAAGGAGGGCCATCAGACTGCAGAATGCCATTTGAAAACCTCAGTGAGGAAGGGAGACCGACCAGGGGGAAGTTGATTAAAACCACCCAGCACTCCAGGGAGATAGCGTTGAAGAGCGCTGTGGTCATAGAGTTCTGCTCCTCCGCAAAGTTGGAAGGGGGAACTCCAACCCCGCCAGAGAAAGACTCGGAGTTGTGCGGCAGCGACTATGATTAAAACCTTTTGGTAAGTGGGCCAATTGCCCCAGTAACCATGCCCATTGAACTGCTAATCCCAGGCATGGAGAAGAAAGTAGCTCTGAAGGCCTTACTGGACTCGGGTTGCACTAGATGCTTAATAAGTCCAACCCTAGTGGGGAAGTTAGGGATTAGCTTAAGGAGGTTAAAAGAGCCAATCTCATTCTGCCAGCTAGATGGGTCTGTTGCAGGGGGTGTCCCAGCCACTCTCGCCACAACACCAGTGAAGCTAACTATGGGGAACCACTGGCAAAGCTGTCGAAACATTCTATCATTTTTTGCATTGGATTTGATCTTGTTTATGGCTCGAATTATTATAGTTAATGATGAATGGAGACTTGTACTTAGATGTTTTCCTACAAGATGTTGTCTGTGCACCACACAATGAATACATAAAACATTTGGCACTTCGTTGCTTTACTGTGCTATCGCTTAGGGGCAACATTTTTAAAATTTCAGGTATATCCTGATGCATTACTGTTGAGATAAATACTTTTATAGACGGTATTATTACAGTTTCTCCAATATTATAGCTTTTACCACTTTTTGCAATTAATTGTGAAATGCGATAAGCGGCAATTAATCCATCTTCATTCGCTGCATGTTGTTTCTTAAATGATGCAATGATTGTTGAACGATTTTGAAATTTTTTATATATTTCCTGAAAATATTCAATGGGCTTGTCCTTATCATTTGGATGCTTTGTAGAACGATGTTCTCACAATCGACTTGGCTTCATTGCCTCATTGGATAATGTTTTATGACACAATAAACACATTGGATGTTCTTTATTTACAACAGATTCTATGAAACCCATCTTCAGATACTCTGGCAAATAGCCACGAGCGTATTTCTTTTTTTGAGACATGGACTCACAATATTTCACAATATTTTGTTTGAAGCTGTAGGCACGTGCTCACTCTCACAAATCTAACTGCGTACTGACCAGTGCGACCGCAAACAAAAGAGCCTGTGCCGTGTATCGTCATCTGCGCATGCCTCTTGCGCATCGTGGATTGGGTTTGGGGGGGCGCCGGCTACCAGCTCTGCTTGTCTGTTACAGCTGGGTGGTGTGGGGGGAGATGTGCGAGCTATTCTGAGATGATGCTCTTTTGTTTGCGGTCGCACTATAGCGCCATTTAGTTTCACTTACGTAACGTGAACTAAACTTATGCACAGGCGATACAAATGGTATATTTTCAGAAATTTAAATTGTCACGGGGAATTTTATGAAAACCTAATGAAAATGTTTTTAAATAATGCTATGAAATTTTTTTAAAAAGTCAATTAAATTAAAAAAAAGGAAAGTGCTTCAGTATCGGACAAAACCCCTACCGCCCACCATGAAAGCTGGAACACCCACTAGTCGGTGGTAAGGACCAGATTGACTACCACTGCATTAGGGCATATCCACTAGACATAATAATAAGTACCTGGTTTTTGTTTGCATTTCCAACAAGTATTTGATACATTTTTAAACATTTTCTCTAATCTAACTGGTGTC